TATAATAATAAAATATAAATACCAAAGAGTGTTTAAAATGTTCTTCAACAAACATGTATCACATAGATTTTTGATTCAGTTAAGTATCCCATTTATTTATTTGCATTTCTGTGTTTCACAGTTTGTTGCTGTTATTCAGGGATTCTCATTCAATTTTGTAAAGGTCTTGACAGTTTTTTTACCACTTGTCAAATATACACAAGAACAGCTGCAATAATGACATGAAGCAGCATGTGCTGGCAAAGTTACACAGATATTTTGTTCCAAATAAGTGGGCTGGGTCCATTTTATTATGCTGCAGTCCACTGTAATCCAACTGAAACAAGTTAGCACCATATTTCAAATGCATGATGGGTTTCTGCCAATATACTTTGATTCATAATAGCTAGAAAGCCTTTCAGAAAACATGAAGTTGAATTCTGCCAACCCCACATATTTATTTTACTTATTTATTAAAAGCTTTTCTATCCCATCCCCTACAGATCGTCTTGGGATGGCTTACATATACAACGTATCTTCCAGTTGTCTAAGTTGTGCACATCTGGTGACCATGCCTACTGGCTCATGAAAGCATGTGTTCCATGTGGCCCTCTGAAAATTGTCAGGAACTCCCTGAGTGTCTGATCTTATACATGCATACTCAGAAGTAAATCCCATTCAGTTCATCAGGTCTTAGTTGCATATAAGTAGCTATAGGGTTACAATCTACTTTCAGAACAGTACTGTGAGCCTGCAGGCAATGTAAGCATATCACATCAGTGCTTTTCCAACTTCACTAGCTGCCAGTTGGTTTCTGGGCTCTGATGTTGAGCTTTTGGTCCTTTGTGGCTTCAGACCATTGTGCCTGAAGAACAAATACTTTTGAGCACTCTTCTCAGAGTCCCGAGACGTACTGAGGTTTGTCAGGTGGCTATGAAGAAGATGAACTTTTCAGCAATGGTTCTGGCTTTTGAATGTTCTTCCTAGAGATGCTTGCCTGGCACATACTTAGGGCCATTTATTACTACAGGAAGAATCTTAGATTTCTCTGAATATGTGCCTGGTAGAGCTCCCAAAATTGGAGGATTATGGGTGCACTTTGAAGCAAGAAGGAGCATACTTCTCCCATCCGGCAAAAGACTTAGATGGCCAGTTTTGTTCCTGAGGCACCACAAGGGTACTGTCTATACCCATGGAGCCTGACCTGTCCAAGAAAGCCAAGAAAACAGCAGCTCTGAAATTGCACTTGTAACCTCAGAGCTGCAGCTGGCGAGGGTGGAGGGAAAGTGCTCTGAATACAAAGTCCCAGCTCTGACCTTAGAGCATATTTCTGAGGTCCACAATGGGACTCTGATTTCTCCTATGGCCCTCTAGACCTGTCCAGAGGCTGTCGGAGTGCACCCTAAGTTGTTTTTACTTGCATTTTTATGCTGTATTTAGACTTGGATTCTTGTCATTTATTAACAAATGTAAATAGTTTTTTATTTTGTTGTGAGCTACCCTGAGAACTTTAGTATAAGGGCTGATCAATGCATATATAATGACTATAGAGCACTTGGCCAGGGAAGGATGAAAATTGTAGTCCTTAAAAAATGCATAAGTTAGCGCACTTAGCCAATGAACAAAGTTTTGAAAATTACGATACAGAAACGACTAAGAGACCAAAGTAGGATGGAACTAACTAGATGCCTTTATCGTAGCCTAGGGACCTGGGGATGCATTCTTGCTTTACTTTGTATACTTGTAATGCAGAAGTAAATGTTTTGCTTTCTGTTTAAGATTGTCATTTTCTTGGCATCAACCATAAAATATAGAGTCCCTAAAAACATTTGAGGAAAATAATAAAAAAGGATTTCACAAATTGGAAAGGACAAGTTTTCTCTTGATAGTCAAACAGTTATGATGTAAAGCGGTCTCATTAAATCATAAGTACTTTAACCTTTTCTTGAAAGAACTGAAGATTTAAAGATTTATAAAGATTTTTTTTTTCCTAAACTAGGAAATGACTCACATTTGACATGTATTGAAATGATAATGCTGATTTCAACAGGCACTCTGAGCATTTTGCTCCCAGGAGAGTAATTCAGTTCTGGTTACCTCTTTGCATTCTGAATTTAAACTTACTTCCTAAGGCTTTTAATGTGCTTCTAGCTGCCAAAACATGGCAAAGTTACCCAGATATGATCAGGTAAAATAAAGGCTAGTAAAAACGTTATTTAATAATTGCAGACACTGAAGCTGAAATAAAGAGTCCTGGATGGTAGATTCTAGAGACCACTCTCAGTCTGGCGAACTGATATATGAAAACATGAATTTCTGAACCACAGAATCATATGCATGATCTCAATGCAGCTTACACCTGCGTATGTAGATATGGGACGTCAGATAAAACTCTTATCTGAAGAGTTAATTAATCTGATAATTTTATTGTTTCTTTATTCATTTGTTGGGGAGGAAATGCTGGCAAATGTGGGTACACTTAATTGCAAAATCAGAGTGCTGTCTGAAGCTATGAGTAGCCATATCTGACATTATGCAACATCCATGACAATATCTTAACCCTGGCAGAGGCATACACCTGATCTACTTATGTCCTACTTATTATCTCTTGCATTGGGTTTGAGGTCAGTTGCATCAGCTGCCCATAGAATAGCTCCCATTAGAGCTGTTTTCACAGGTAGCAAAAGGGTTTATTAAGGGCACTGCCTATAAATGCTTGATCTTGTGTGCCAGTCCAGCAGCTCAGAATTTTGAGCCCTGGAAGAGAAACTCAGGACATGAGGTCACCTATCAGCAAAATGGACATCATTGGTGGAAAGGACTCCCCTTCCCCTAGAATCCCCAATAAACTTCAAATCTGCTCTGGAAGTTTTGGAGGACCCTCTGGAGTTATTACTGCTGTAAAAAGGTGACACAGGAGGCACATGATTAGCCCTGCAGAATCATTCTGTATCCTCATAGGATTAGGAGAGCCTGTGTGGGGTAGTGATTAAGAGTGGGGGACTGGGACTCGGGCTACCTGAGGTCTAGTCCCCACTCAGCCCTGGTGTCAATCTAATAAATAAATAAATAGGATGATCTTCTGCAACAGGAAGATCAGGGTTATAAATCAAACAGGGAGCTTCTGACAACAGAAAAGTTTCCCCACTGCAGTAGCCACACTTGAGGAGGAGTGCACCCTTGAAGGCAAGGATCCATGTGCAGCCCAGCAGACCTGATGCATCTGTGTTGCCTCCTCATCCGAATAACACCTGACTATGGCTACTGCTTTACCCTGAAAAATACTACCACAAAGAAAAACAAAAAGCAAAAAAGCCCCTAATATTTTATTATAATGCATTCATCTTCTTCAAAGCGTCTTACAATATATTGCCTTTTAAGAAAATACAAGCTTTTCACTACAAAATTCTAGTCATCACTAGTTTCTGAATCCACTACAAAATGACAGTAATGACATGAATCTAAAGTCCACTTAGTTTCATGGTGAGGCCACTGTTTCCATCCAACAGCTAATGCATTCCATCCAACAGCTAATGCATTCACTCAATTTGTTGTTCGATCACAGAAGGAACAATAATCAAGAGAAAACAATCCTAAGACAGAAAGGGTAGATTTATCCAGCAATGACCAGAAATGTTATCTGAGTGAGAATTGTTGCATGTGGTTGATGAAGAATTGACAGAACACAACTGCTTTCTCTACACACATAGAAGAGAGGCTTTTTGCCTGTTTTTGAGATGCAGCAACACCCCCTTATAAAGATCAGGCTCATACTTTGGGGGTAGATCCACCATTGTTGCCAGAGTCCCAAGAGACCGCAGCAGCTTGGAGTGCCTTTAACCAGCTTTGAATGGTTCACTAGTTACAGGCTCTTCTGGACAGAGATAACATGAACACACTTCTCTCTTATGCTTAGTCACTTGCATCATTGAATAGCATGTTTCCTATGGTTCCAGATGGACCCAGAGAAAAACCATCCACATAGTGGCTCTATTTCTTGGGAACTTCCTGCCTCTAGAATTCAGGCAGGTGCCAACATTCATTTGTTTTCAGCATCTCCTGAAAGCACTTTTATTTTAGGAAGCCTTTCTGGTCTAATCAACCAGTTTTATTGATGCAATTTTATTCATCCTGTTTTTAACATATTGGTTTAATCTTGTCTTCTACCATTCATTGTTCCAAAATCTTCACACTGGAATCTTATAAATAAGTAAATTAATAAATATGGCAGAGTTTAGCCTATTGCTGAGAAAATGTAGTCCCTGGTGCAGAATGCGCGATACAGTTTCAGTAACATTTTTATCAGCTAGTAAATAATATATAAACTTCAGAAATGTAGCAAACTATGAACATGCAAGGAATATAAGAAGTTTTATTTAAAGAAAATAATTTAGGAGAGTAATATGGACACTGTTATTCTAACCCAGCAACACTAGATGTTTATTAAATCCAGCTCCCACAGACAAGCTATTCTTCTACATTTGGTGCTGCACGTGTTTAAAAGCATAAAAGAGTGTACTTGTGTGAGCATAAAATCACGCGACAACTGGAACTATAGGTGCACATGGCAAATATTGTAGGGGTCCCCTATATGGTAGGGAATCAATCTAGGTGTGCCATCTCTTTCCATGTACCATCAACTGTTGAGATAAGGTATGTTTAAATGAATTTAAATCACTGGTCAGATGATTCAGTACCTGTTTTTTATTGTTATGTTTTTGTGATCTACAAGTTACTATCTACTATGAGAGGGAAATGAAATAATGGTATTTTCTGCTGCATTTTCTGTGGGTGGGAATTAAACAAGCTCTTCAAATTCCAATGAAAAGTCCCCATTGCTCAAACTTTATTAATTTAGGTTGTTTTATTAAAGACCTGAGTCTAAAATATTGAGACCTCATTTTGCCTCCCTGCAAATTACCATTATATTTTCCACTTGAACATGTTGGTTCCGATGCACCTTGCACGTACAGTTCAAGACTTTAACCATGCTAAATGTGTGTGTTTTTTGTGTCACCTACCTGCATGCTAAGATGATTCCATTCCTTCACAAGAATTCTCCCCAGTGTCATTACTTTTATCGGTGGCTGCAGCCCATTTACAGTGCGATAATAAAACATGGTCTCTTTCTCAGAGATTGTAAGCTTGAACACAGTCTGCCCATCAACAGCTTTCTGCACTATACACCTTTGGAAACAATAAAGAAGAAAAAAATGAAGGTCAGCTTCCAGAAGAGTAGCTAAGTTGTATTGCACAGCAGCAGGAAGGGGGAGAGAATTCATGTGGCACTTCTAGCCAAAGACTTATGAAACAGGGTGAAGGTTTATCTGGAAAAATGCAAATTAAGCAGGATAATTTGTGGCAAGAGAGATTGCACAGTATGGCACCATGCAGGCAGCCCTAGGTTGAACCTGGTTTATCCCATGGAATCTGCAGCAGTGTAAGTGCATGCACCAATCTCTTTGTCTCTTTGCAAGGGTGACTGTTTTCTATCCTCTTGCTCAATGCCTTGATGCATGCATAAAATTGACAGGCTTTTGTACATGCATGGCTTACTGGAAAAGCATAAGAGGTAAAGCTGAGCTTCCCCTTTGCTTGGTCACTGCCCCTGCTTTTGAATGTGCAGGCCAAAATGTGAAAGGCTACTGAATAGCTGTTCTGCTGGGAGAATGCCTTGCTAAGAGCCAACCTGTGCATGGTGTTAAATGCTTTTTTGAATTTTAATGGGAAGTTTTCCTATTTCTCTAACAGAAATAAATTACCCCAGAGAATCAATTTAAGAGGCAACACTGGGCATTTAAAGTATGTGTATCTACCCTTTGTACAGCTATGTGGGAAGAGAGAGGACATTAGCAGACAAAGCCAGAGAGGTGGAATGGGGTGGTGGGGTCACAGGCTAAAGCACATCCAGTGCTTCACATCCAGTCCACAGCAGAGCGACACGTTTTAGTTACCCATTATGAAAACCTATGAGGACAACATAAACTTTTGCAGAAATCAGGGCTTGAAAAATACTTAAAACACAAGTTGTCACAGATGTGACTGTGCAGTGCAATCCCAACTTTGTTCACTCAGATGTCCCTCTATGTCCAGTGTGTTCTTCCTGGTAAACATGTCTGAGATCGCAACCTTAGTTGCTGAATCAGAAAACTAAAAGGATATGAAAAAATACAGGATGGGTAGAGGAAGTGGCAAATACTACTGATACTCTGCTGCCAGGTAGCCCTCAAAGTCCCTGGCCACCACTAAGTGTTTTTGGGAGGAGAAGGTAAGAGCCAAAAGATATGTCTGTGGCCATGTCTGTGGATTCCAAAGGAAGGTAATTTGCTTTGGGATCCTTCAGTCCTGAAATCAACCAACCCTTAACTACTGAACTATCCAGGCTTAGCCCCCCAACTTTTCTGAGGAGGCTGGCCAGACTGGCCACTGTGTTTTATTTCAGCACAGGTGATAGAAAGGTGTACCTTAGCCCACCTGAGAACAGCATGCTGCCCTGGGGTGGGGATGCCCCAGGGCAGGCTGTGTGCCTCCCGCAGCTTTTCTTTCCCAGCAGCTTGCCGCTGCTTCTTGCCCGCTAGCACCTGCTACCTGGGGCAGCTGCTTCACTTTGCCCAGTGGTGGGGCTGGCCTGCCACTTCACTTGCTCTCACGTCAAGTCAATGCCCTCAGCACAACTTCCTCAGGTGTGCTAAAACAGATACATAGTAATGCAACCAAATTTATGTAACCTGGCAACACTTCTATCAGTAACACAACTTCAAATCTCAAGTGTAAAATTTCTTTTTCTCTCTGTCTCTCCTTTTGTTATAATGTAACTCTAGTTTTCAGTAAATTGCTGCTGCTTTATTTATTTATTTATTTATTTATTTATTTGGGATATTTCTAGGCCATCCAATCACACTGAGTCTATGGATGGCTTAAAAATGCAGAGTGAGGTATAGCAAATAGAACTGAACTGGGTAGGGCTAAGTTGATGTTAGTGGGACAGAACTTAAAAGTTTATCAGTAACTCATTGTTAATCAGATAAGATAAATTACATTTCATGAAGTTTAAGTGTTACTCTTTCTCAGTAATTATTTTGATTCCATCATGGTTTATCGGCAGATTATTTAGTGAAATATTCAGTCTGCAAGTTTACTAAAAATGCATTTCTTAACATACTGCTGATTCTGTTTGCATGTAAACATGTTAGTTTTTCGTTAACAAATATTTGCCAGAAGACACAGCCAAGTAGGAAAATATTTAGGAACTGGATTTACCCAGTTCCTGGATAAGCAATAATTGGATAATCCAGGGTTTATTAATTTTGCTTATCTAAAAACAAATACCCCCATATGTGGACCCTCACAGGTGTCAGGACTTAAATGGGGAAGTGACCTTGATGTGTAGTGCTTTAAAATCCAGAACAGTGTTTTTTTTAAAACAAATGTATGGCTTACAACTTATTTACTGTTAGATTAACGTATGTTATATCTTTAAATGGCATAATTGCATTAGTTGCTATTAGGAATTGTCTTTTCTTATCTGATATCAAGTATAACTGTTCTTCTGGGAGTTACTTCTCTTTGGGAAAAATACTTTTCTTTGAATAGTGAAATCATGCTGGTCAACCTTTAAAATGCAAGTTTATTTCATAGCAAAGGATGATAGATTACTAAAAGCAAACATGAGAGAAGACCTTCTCAGCCACCTTAAGGTACTTAACATATTCTGCTTATTTTATTTCTCTTTCTTAGTTTCTATCCTTCTGAACATCAAGGGAGACCATTTTTTAAAACTCTATTCTTACTGCTCTACTACAAGCCTACAGAGCAATCTTAAAGAGATCAGGTGGGGAGAATCTGTGCTGGACGAGTCACCCTGAATTCTTCTAGACCCATGCTGGTGTGGACAGAAGGTGTGGGGTGGCTTTTTGCTCTTTCGCTAGCCCAGCTCTCAGATCACTCAGGTTTCTTTCTGGTTGAGGGGCATATAGGAGAAATGAGGAGACTTGGGGTCCTCCTCCTGATGCAGCCTGATTTTCTCCCTAGCACTACTGAAAACCCTACAGCAATGTGGAGACGGCGGCAGAGTTTTCTGCCACTGCAACAAGAAGACCACTAGTGGGGTCCCTGCTTCTTGCCCATGGAGAGGGATGGGTACAAAATCCTGTCACCCCAGGACTTACTACCAAGGGCCTTTAATCTTTTCCCTTTATGGTTCTTCTGCTTTATATAATTTACACCATTTTTTCTGAAGGAGTTATCCAATATTATGAGTAAATGAAGGGGCTCAGGGAGCAGAAGTAGCCAGTGTAGTGACTGAGTCATATCTGAGTCCCGCTGGCCTATGGGTTATATTTGGAGTCATCAACAATTTCCAACACAGGACCACCAGCTTCCATAGGCACCAATGAAAGGAGTCAGTGAACACCTGAGCAACAGCTCTGGAATCATTCCAGTCCTACAGAGAGTAACATGACTTTGAGATTGTGCTTCATCCCCATGAGAGAAACTGAAGCAAATCTGAGGGATTATTTTTATGGGTTCCTCCTGTATATGGAGGGAAGAGAAGAAGGCATTGAACTGGTGTACTGGTGGCCTCAAAGTCCTGTATGCTGTCAGTCAGTGCCCTCATACATTTGCAAAGGAGACAGGATCTATTTCTGTACAATTTCATGAACAATCTGTGCACCCTACAAACACTTACAAAATTTACCACCTTGCCTTCTAGTCCATGCTAATCTCAAAAGACAATTCTTTTGCAGAGGTTTCATTGGTGATAGTTGTAATATCCTAGTGAGTACATAAGGGATCAGGACAGAAATAGCTGATGAATCCTCTCAAATAAGGAGGTCAAGTGTGGGTGGGGAATTTTTTTTTTTTTTTTGGTCACAATACTATAACTAGATAATATATTTAAAAAATCTGTTCTGTTGTTTGGTTCCCTGAATTCCCATGCCCTACAGTTAACTAAGTAAGTGTAACTTCAATTAATTGCACTTTCTTCCCCTATTTCTCTCTGCCTCCACTTCCTTTCCCTATCTCTGTGTTCCCAGGATTTTAAGTCTTGGAAAATTGTAGACCATCAGTTCCTTCAGAGTTCCTGCTCTTGCATTCTTGTAAAGTCCCATCCACATTAATGGAGCTATCCCTATAGAAACAGTATTCTCTGTTTTTCAAACAAGAATCACACTGGCTAAAGAATCAAACAATAAATGCACAAAAAGCAGTGTGAGAACTACATTAACTATTAAATAACCAAATTAACATGGAGCAATATATTTTTTACTAATTTAGGGTGGGGGAGTGGAATCTGGAATGCCAAAGAGAACATTAGCCTTCTGTTATGACCAACCTTTTTTTCTTAATATTCTTGTCCCCATGATTTGTCTGTCTTTCCTTTATTTTAAGATTTAATGGATTCCACCCACAAAAAGTGAGCAGTCACTATCCAAAATGTACATCTTAGGCTAAAGCAACAGTTCTCAGCTACATTGGAACTTGGTTCAGTAACACAATCTGACTTGTGAAAGTTGTAAGAAAGTGAAAAACCGTCTTCCCACTCACTTGTGGGAATGAGAAGCACGCTCACCTGCTCCTCTTCCATTGTCCCTCCATGTTCTCAGCCCAGTTCAACTGGTGTGCACTGCTGCACCCATGAGAAAATCAGCCAACTCTGTTTTGAGTTGGCTTGACTGAGCAAAACAGACCCAAACACAAAATCCTCCACAGCTGTGTAGAGCACTCTGAATTTTAGAGGCCCTTGCTAGTCTTTGCCTGAAGCCTTTTGAACAATCTGCCTGCCGTGCTGATTGTCCTCTTGTGCTTATCTTCGTCTTTCCTTCACCATTTTCCTGCTTGTCCTCTTTGGACAAGCATCCAACTGTGCAGTACCTTATTATGGGTTCAGGTGTTGCAACCAGTCCAAGGAAGCAGAAATTCCCATGGCCACATGTGGAAAACGCGTGTGGAGAAACAGGGGAGAGAGGCAGGGAGATAAGGGTGGAAAGGGGCTTGTAAGTGTGACCTCCGTGGGTTGCTCATTGTTAAGTGTACCTCTTCTTGGGTAATGGGGAGGCTCCACTGACCTACAATTGCAGTGAAGAAGAGTCAGACATGACATGTGCACCTGGCAGGAACAATGAGCACCATGCAAGAGTTTGATTTGCCATTGTTCTTACTACACTGCTGCTGTAAACAGAGCATCTGCTAGTGGCAATCATAAATGGAACTGGTGCTATGTGCTGTGAAAAGGATGTTGTCGTGGTATAGCTGTGTGGAGTCACTAATGCTCTCACAATAGCATCCATCACCTTCAGGAGATATGGCATCATGGTGACAGCTAGCATAGTCAATGCAGCAACATCCTACACCCAAAGAAAAGGGCCTCCTCTAAACATGTATGAGATAGAAGCAGAGTATTGCCAGATATAGGATCCACCTAGAGTCCATCTCTTTTGGCCACTAGATTGGCCAATGCCCTACTTGCCTAGATTGGGTAATAGGCTTTAGGCATAAGATTGTAACTGGCAGACAACATACCAAGCCTTTCTGCACCTAAGAAGTGTAGCGCCAAGCTGTATATTCAGGGATATCATTTGGAATACTTGTTCCAATAAAGAATGCAAATGGAAAAAGACATGCTTGAATGTTCTAATGTTAAGAAAATCCTGCACTTGTACAATAAACTGGACCATACATGCTGACTGTTAATTTTCCACATGCAAAAGACTTTTTGCTATGGAGAAACAACCAACCAGCTGATCCCAATCTCAGTCCAAAGTGGTACAGTCTTGGTAAGTCTGTACCAAATGGTATATCTACTTTCTTTTCAAAATTGTTGTGTATGAGATAAGGGTACCTTCCACTTTATGTTCATCCAAACCATACCTCTGTCTGCCATTATTGCTGAATTTTACAAATTATAATGCACAGCTGCCAACTACTTACATTACACCTTCTTTCTCAGGTTTCAGCCACACTGTTAAAGTAAATGAAGTTGCAAGCTTCTGAGCATGGGGAGTGGAAAAGCAATCGTGTAGGTTATGAAAAATAAAGCTTGATGAGTTGCTGAAGGCTCCAGGATGCAAATCATGCTTGTCTCGTGTGATGCAGAATCCCAGTCTTTCTGAGAGCATGGCAGTATAAGAGGCAGGCGATGATCTGTACGGACACTCCTGAGTGCAGAATTGTTGTGTACAGGAGTGAAAACTTTCAACAGTACTTTGACAAAAAGCACTCCGCTCTGGCAGTCCACAGGTTGCTTGGCTTGGCACAATGGAAACGTGTTTGAAAGCACCCACATTTTCAAGTCTTGGGAAGTGTCCCTGTGAACTGGCCAGAAGTAAGGACGTATAATAAGCCATGATTAATGTTTCAATGGCAGGAAAGAGGAAACCACAGTGGAAGGGAAGGACCAGGCAAATCATGTTTACAGGAAGATCTTCCCCTGATAAGGCATTCCTAAATAAATGATGACTCCATCGATGGCAATGCCCTTGGGTATCCTGGGCTGGAGACAATGCAGCATTTCACCTTAATCTGAAATAATGGGGGTGTTGCACTTTTCATGGCTAGTGGCATACACCTGAAGAGGGGTAACACCTGCAAGCCAACAAAGAAACATTGTACAAAGGAAATGAGTGTTTTGTATACAATCATACATACACCTAAGGCCAGAGTGACCTAAAGCAGTTGCGGCAGGGTGAGGTGTGGGAACAACAAGTGCAATAGAAAACCTTATTTGCAAATCTTGTGTGTCAGAGGAAGATACACAGGAATATGCTAATCTCCTGACTGAACTTCTTACCCGCCAGTAATAATCCACATAAATGCCGTTGTGTGCTATCTGAGCAGATACGCAGAGCGATAGTTAAAAAGAACTAAAAACACAACTAAGTTTGATGGGAAAATTTATACATGAAACATGAAATATATGCTATGCTATATGTTCAAGGACTGATTTTGGCGCAAGGTTCTGAAATCTCAAATTCTGCATACACGGAAACCCTTGAATGTTAGCTGTCAAGCCCTGCGGCTTACCTATGCAGAACTAAGGCTAAGCAGTCCTACTTCTGAAGTTTTCAGCCATTAAAGTTCCAGCAACTGCACTATATTCTGACAGGCAAAACACCTAGCATGCTAAGTCAGCTCAACATCTAGAAATAACTACACGAGATATTTTTCAAAGAAACATACTCAGAGGTTAAAGGTATATACATACAACTTTCAGATTGCAAAGCACTTTGCGTCTTACCCCAATTGTCCATTTCGTGCAGCTCCTTTTAGCTCTCAGAAAAGCTGATTAAAAACATATCACCATCTGTCCTGCACGGCCCTTTTCCTAGCAAGTATCTGTGCTATTTCCGACACTACAGATATTATGCTTTACATACAGGTGAGGCGAAAACTGTGTAATTGCAATTGATAGATACGTTGCATTGTCGGTATTTATTGCATTTCAGAGAGGCAACTACTCAAACCTTCAGTTTGACAATTGGCTCGGATGGCAGGAACGCTCGTTCTCGTTGCCTGGCAACAGTAGAGTTACCCCCAGTAATTCTTAGTAAATAGGCCTTGGCAGGAGGCGCAGGCGAAGGAGTGCTCAGATGGCCAGGTAAAGTCTCTCAGACAGTAAGCACTTAAAGTGGGATGCCAGAGAACGCTCTGCTCTCTTCAGGCTCATGAGAGGAACCCTTGATGGTGGGGGAGACGGTTTGAGGCACTCAGCCCCCAGCTGTGCATGTCAGATGTCACCATGGCGGTACAGCATGGGCGCTCAGCACCAACTGTGTGTGTGTGTGCAGCCGAGTTTGTGCTCTCGACAGTCTTCATCAACTTTTCTGTGTGACGGGGAGAAAAAAACAAAGCATCAGCAAACTCTGCCATGGTTGCTCAAATGTAAAGCATAAAATATTTAATACAGCCAGTGGCAACAACTTGGTTCTTGCTCCCTTCCTTTGTCTACAGGGGTTTCTTTTCCCTGGGTTTTATCTGCTGCTTCAGCAGAGTCTCTGTATTTGTCAAAATGGCAGACAATGGCAGCATCCTTCCCACTAGAGGGAGAAAGGCTTAAGCAATGCCTCACTTCGTTTCTCTGGGCAGAAGCAGGGAACAGGGAAGGAGATGTCCCTACGTCAGAGATTCAGGAGGGGGCAGCTTGCTGGACCAGCAGGTGCTTGTCTTTCAGGTGGAGGTTCACATTGGACAGGTGTGCTTCTGCTTCCCAGAAGTTGCAGCTGGTACGAACCTCGTGTGGAGTTCTTGCCGCACCATGCAAAGTATCTATGGGATGGTTCCACCACATAAAATGTTGGAGATGAATCTGCTGGATTCATTCCAATGCTGTGAGAGCCACCATAAAATTCCTATGTATGTCTACTCCAAAGTCCTATTGAGTTCAACCTCACATCTAAAACATGATCAATAGTGGAGGCCAGGTTACTTAAGAGGGAAATAGTATTTATCAATGTGGCTTTTAAAACAATCTATTGATGGGGAAATGTAATATTTAAGACCATGATGGCATGTTGGAGTGTCCCAAAGTAGTCTCTCTCTCTCCACATGCACACACAAAGAGAGCAAGAGATACAGGCACACACCCCAAATAAATGTTTTTTCTGTTTGCTAGGAGCCTAACAAACTTGTCTGGTAAGAGAATTCTAGTGTCTGGATGTTATTTATGAAAAGACCCTCTTTTTGAACTCTTCCACCCTCAATAGATGAAAAAATTTCCCCACAGACTCTCCCTTTCGTAAACGCTGTTGGCTGCACCCTTAGAGGGACTCTTGCTATTGCAAAACTAGATGGAGAGAGTGATGGTGCCCCTCCTACTGAGCAGTCCTCTCCCAAAACCTCCTGAACAGGTCAAGGACTGCATCCCACATCTACTTCCTTCCCTTTCTGAAAACCCTTTCTTCTCTTCCAAAACAGACTATGCAGCCTTGAAGGCACTTCAAAGAATTTAGCCCCTGCCCCTCTTTCCCCTCCTCCACTTCAGAACCTGAAGACGATGACTCCTGCTGCACAGCCCACCCTCTACAACCTAAAGAAGGATTGTTGCTGCAGATCTCATATGGCTGGCAGGTTTATGAGGAAGCAGGCAGTCCTTTAGACACACAAGACCCAGAGCAGAGGGCACTGACTGCTTGAACAGAATACTATTAGCCCGTGTTGTTTGAATATTGCTGTGATAATTATTATTTGCTTTATTTATTCATCTGTTACATTTTCTAGAGCAAAGCTACACATTCTGCTAATTATGTGCAGCTTTGTGAGATGGTTTTCTTTACTCTCAGGTAAAGACATGATTCAGATCAGGACTGTGGTGACCTGGGAGGAAAGGGTTAGAGCCCTACCTGTTTTTATTGTGTGTGTGTGCAGGCTGCTGGGTAACTTCTTTGTGTGCAGGCACACACACACACAATTAAAGAAAACTAACTTGTGAAGCTACAGGCTGCATGATTTGTATGACATGTAGTTTGGCCTCTCGTCACTGATAAACTGGGAACTTGGACACGCTGACTGGAGGTTATGGAAGCTGTAGATCAATGGCTCTAGAGGGTGGCAGCTTGGGAAAGGCTGGCCTGGGAGAACAGAACCATTTTTGCCAGGTGTCTGATCACTGAAGGCTTCAGGAGAGCTTCTCTCAAGATCGTCTCATACTGGGAGAGAGGGGCACTGTCGAAAATGTGTTTTAGAGTCAACCTCCATTAACAGTCTGACTGTTATACTTGGGACTACTTGCAGTTTCTCAACAATCAAAGGTAACCCCATATATTGAACATTACAGTAATCTACTTTGGAATGTTCCTTGAAATGTGTTAAGGAATGCAAAATTTCTCCATCCACGCAGTGTTATCTGCAGAGCTGGGCAAGCATGGCTCACTGTCCTGATTCGTACCAGATCTCCTCATCTACACCCGTCCAATCAAATGTATTGACCTAAATGGACATGGGTTAGGCTCTCTAAACAAAGATAGCAAGGCAGTAGCAACTGGTGCACGAAGTGAGAAGGAAACCTTAGACAGCCAGGGATTAGAGTAATCAAATCCATAAGTTACTGCAAAATTATACAAAGTCAGCATATACACCGAACTTGAATGGCAGCAGCAGCTATTTAATTCTATAGAAAAATAGAGATACTGGATCAAGAGAGATGTGTGGTTTTCAGGGGGAATGAGGTGTGCATCGTTAAATGATGGAGTTCGCTACTACAAGATGTGGTGATGGCTACCTATCTAGATAGCTTTAAAATTCATGGAGCACATGGCCATCTGTGGCTACTAGCCTTGATGACTGCAGATTTTTCTCCATTTCAGAAGCAACATGAATAGAAGGGTGCTATTCTGTTCATGTCCTGTCTGTGGATTTCTGGCGGGGATCTTTGGTTAGCCAGAGTATGAGCAGAATACTGGATTTTTGTCTGATCTATCAGACTCTTCTCATGTGTTTTTATGGGAGAAATTAAGAATTACTGAAATAGAAAACTTGGGATGTGGCACTTCTCTAATGTTGGCATGATCCACCAGTGAAAAACCAGGTTCTATCCAGAGGAAGGTGACCTAGATGGTGAGGGATCTGGAAACCAAGCTGTATATGAGGAACTCTCAAAAGATCTGATTTTTAAGCTAGAGAAGATAAACTCAAGAGAAGATTAAAGGGCAACATGATAGCTGTCCTTGCACATCTGCTGGGTTGTCATGAAGAAAACAGCAGATTTGATCAATGTTGCTCCAGAGGGCCAGGCTAGAACCACGGGTTGAAATTGCAAGGAAGTAGATTTCAGTTAATCATTTTAGGAAATTCCTTAGTGGTAAGAGCTCTCTAGTGATTACGCAGGCTGCCTAAGAAGGCGGTGGGATCACATTTGCTGGAAGTTTTAAAGGACAGGCAGACAGCAACGATCAGGGATCCCATAGTTGCACTCTGCATTAAGCAGGGGGATAGACTAGATGAACTCTAGCTCCCCTTCCAATATTTCATATTTTCCAAAAACAGAGCAAACGTTTCTGGTGATTCCAAATCATACAACCTGCTAAGAACTTGGATACCTAGATTTTCCTTCCTTCCCTGTTCTATGCTGCTACTTCCCACCATATTCTGATACAGATCTCTGCTGGTGAGTCTGGGAAAGTAGGGTGGCAAGGAATCTAATTTTCCCACCAAATATGTGATGTACACTTGACCTCTGGCACCATTCCCTTTAAAATATTAGAATAATTAAAGCTGAACACTTTAATTCATAATTGATCCCTCCATCCATCAATTTTGTTTTGTATTCCATTCACCAAATTTTACCTCTTTGCAAAATTCTAACAATGCATTAGCATTCAGAGTTTATTGCAATATATTTTACATATATGAATAGATTTTTGTAAGTGCTGAAGCACTGACCTTCAACATTTATGCTGTCCTTGTCTACTTACAT